TAATATTATACAAACTTGCATGCAAGTAACTTGTATGTGTAAATGCTGGGTAAAACAACAAAATTTTTACCTAACTTAATTTAATTTTATTTCAGTTCAATGTTTTTGACAAAGTATATCTACTAATAAGTAATTCGACTCGTTCCATTCCGTTAGTTTTCGTTTGCATCTTGCTTCCAAATTCTTAAAATATTCCATTTTTTTTGTAGAAATAGATGGTAATAAGAGTTGTGTAGGCAAGAAAGAAACAAAATATTGTAAACAAACAAGTGTATCAAAAACATTGAACTGAAATAAAATTAAATTAAGTTAGGTAAAAATTTTGCTATTTTTATTTTGATAATAACAAAATTTATTTTTCATTTTATAAAATTTAGGTAAAAAATTCGAATGTATGAAAGCAGAAGAGTTTGAAATTTCATGTATGAATGTAAACATGCATGTACCCGGTACAATAGATACACAGTATCAGGTAGTGACATAGAAATAAAGTAATGTAATAAAAAAACCTTATGCATACTGATTACTTTTTGAAATATAATTATTACCGATTCATGGGAAATATGTTTTAAATTTATTAAGATTGAAATAAAAATAAAAAATTTAAAAATAATTTATTTATTTTATTTATTAATAATAATTATTAATTACAAATGCGTAACACTAAAAATTTAAAATATTTTCAAAAGTTCATATTTACCTCTCCACATCTCTTGACAACAAATGAAATTTTCGTGTCGGCTTTTTTGCCTCACACACAATATTACATCCCAAACACTTCAAATAATGTTTACCCATTATTATAAAAAAATTTTTTTTTTTTCGCAACTACTTAAAATTTTTTTTAATATTATACGTCTTTTGAAAATATATTGTTATTATTTTTCATATAAATTATAATAATTTTTTTTAAACACTTTTTTTCCGCTTCGCTTTTATAATATGAATACACCTTTTTGCCACCTTGTACTGGAATGAATTACAGAAATTATTATGTCGCTTTTAAAATTCTTAATATTTTTCCCTATACTTTATATAGGAAAAAATAATAAAGTGTCGCCTTTCAAAATTACATTATAAAAAAACAGGTTGACATCTATTGCGTAGTCTTTCCCTCTCCCAAAAATTCCTATGTGTATAAAAATGAAAACAAGAAGGTATACTGCTTAACTCTTTTAACTAAGGGAATTCTTTGTATACAAATAATGTCTTTATATCTAACAAGTCCCAATACTCAATTTTTTTTACGAAATGTTACGAATTTTTGGCCTCGTTGTTGGTTTTTTCTTTAAATGCCACTGATCGTGTCATATTTTTTATTATTTTTTTCTTTTTTTTTACGTAAAAAAGAGATTAATATTTTAAAAAATCTCAGGATATTATACACATTTTTTAAAAAGCTTCCCATTTAAATTCTATTGCACGAAAAAGAAAGAAAGGTAGGAGGAAAGAAAAAATGAAAAAAAATTTCAAATTCATATTTCAGTATGGTTTCAAATGTTAATGAGGAAGGATGTATGATTTTTTATGCACATTTTGTATTTCCCAATAAGGTAAGTTGAGTAGTGTCGGCTAACAAAAATGTTATTAAAAGTAATATAGGTTGACACATTTCAACAATTTGAATTATCTCATTTCGATTATTCATACGTTACTTATAAAATTGTTTCAAATAATTTCAGTTAGTTTTTAAATTATTAAAAATAAATATGTATGTACCTACTTCCAATAAATTTTTTTTTAAATAATTATTTTAAAACTATTTTAAACATGTTATATTGAGTGCTTCAAAAATTTTGCTGTGCTCTTTTTTCATATTTTATTAGCAGGTAAATAAGAGCAATCTATTTATAAAATGTCCCTGCATTTATGTATTTAAGATAGGTCATACATACCTGTATGTATTAATTCTAAACGGAAAGAATTTTAAAATACCCGAACAAAAATTTTAAAATACCTGTTATTTTACAGTCGGAATTTTCGAGTCATTTGGTAAAATACCATTTATTTCAAAAATAGAAAAATATTCAAATCCGGTCATAAAAATATATGATTGTTTTTTCCAAACATTTTAAATATTTTTTTTTCTTAGGTAATTGATATAAATGATAGTAAGTTTTTAATATTTTTTCAAATAAAAATAGAGGTAAAATTTTGAAGTTTATATAAAATTTGTATTTAACAAATAATATTTGATTGTATTTTAGATATTATTTTCTAATTCCCTCTTCAAATTTTTTCTTTACTATGTATTTATATCAATATTTAAGAATTATCTTTCATTAATTATATTTTCAACTTGACACCACAGGTACTTCCCATATCTTGAGTTAACTTACCCTATTAGAAAAAAAAGCTGTTCACTTAAAAATAATAAAATGCTTTCAGTAACAAATAAAACGTTGAAGGTGAAGGATGTGCTTGTTGTTTTTCCGCTTTTTTTTTAAATTTTAAAATAATTATCAATGAAAATATTAATATATTTTTTTGATTTTTCAAATATATGTTCTAAATTTTACCTGCTTTATAATAAGTGTGAATTTATTTTAATATTTCTTCTCAAAAAATAGCCACTTCGATTTAAAAAAGGCCATATAAAATAAGGTGTGCTTTCAAGTTTCTCTCTGAGCATTGGGACTTGTTAGATATAAAGACATTAATACAAATATTGGTGAGTGATTGCATTAGTGTGATGTAAACGGAGAGTCGAACTACTTAATAGTAGATATACTTTGGTTTTTGATACACAACTCATATTACCATATGTTTTTAAATAAAAATGGAATATTTTAAGAATTTGGAAGCAAGATGCAAACGAAGACTAACGGAATGGAACGAGTCGAACTACTTATTATAGATATACTTTGATGAAAACTAACGGAATAGAACGAGTGGAACTACTTATTAATAGATATATTTTGAGATATACTTTAATGCAAACAACTGTGAAAAAAGCTTTGAATTTTTTAACAAACTTTTTTTTGTAGTTTCGACAGTTCTTAATAAACAAACAAACTTCAGTTAAGCTGGATTCATTGGTTTGTCGTTTTTGAGCTGTGCTGCTTATAGTCCAACTATTTTTCCTCTTGATTGTTCATGGGTTCATCTAAAAAAAGGTGATAGTTTTTGTTTGTTATGATGCATTTATAACTTTTCGACAAGAATTATATTTAATTGTAATAGTACAGTAAATGTAAGTTTGACGTTTTAAAAAAAAAACACCGCATTAAAGTTGAAGTTGATTCAAAAGTCCAAATTTTCATGTTTTTTTACAACCAACTCGTCGTTTAACTGACGAACCAATGAATCCAGCTTTAAGAACTAAGTTAGAAATGAATATTTGGAAAAGCCCTACTTCTTCCATATTTTAAAGCTAACAACATACTCTATATGACAAAAGTACTGCACTCAATTTTAATAAAAAAAATTAAGGACTGTTACATTTTCATAATTTTGTTTATATGTAAATCACTATTAAAGAGAGGAAAATTAACGTTGTTCTCAATGTTTAATAAATGGGATAATACGCCTAAGTTGCCAAATTTAATCTATGATTAAATTTGAATATGATTAAAATCTGAAGTCAAACATCATACAAAATCTAATAAAAAAATTAGAAATATCCGATTATTATCAGATTTTTAAAAATAATATTTGGGAAAATAAATTTTTAAGAAAGTTTTAACATGATCAGTTTATTTTTTTTTAATTTTTGTTGTTTACATATTACAAACGTAACAATATTGCCGTTAAAAGTTCGACAAACATTGCAGTAGATTTAGTCTAATGTGTAACCTCAGCCTAAAAATATGGGTAATTGGGCCAAGAAAATTTCAAAAAAGGAAAATGTGATACGTTTGGCTCATTTAAGCCTAATTGGCAGTACTGTGTCATAAAGAGCCATTTTGTTTGTCTCTTTTTCTAACTTTTGAATTTTGATTTAAATATGTATTACAAATTACAATATAACAAAGTGATTGGTATGAGAAAGACCGTTATTACTTTGATTTTTTATGTGTAGAAATGTATATCTTCTATATAAAAAAAAATGATCATTTTGCAAAATTTTGCAAATGCTGCATTTTTATGTAGAACTATATAATATATACATATGTATGTATAAGTTGCGGTGTATTTCAATTTTCAGTATTATGTAGTAATTAATGTTAAAAGAGATGTATGTACATACAAATTTAAGCGCGTAAGGGAATTCAAAATTTTCAAACTTAAATAATAGAACGTTCCTTAATATATTCCGATTCATAAGTAAATCAAATTTCATGTTCACATTCAACTGAAAATAAGTAAAGAATGAGTAAGTCGGAAGAATACAGATTCAATGCCAAGATGCCAAGATTCAATGATAATGTAGAAAAATACCAAAAAGGGCGCCCTAATTTTAAACTAGAAAATGGTTTTAATGAGTGCATATTTCAAACTCATCAAGATGAAATGAAAGTAAATACGGTAAGATTAAAGAATTTTTAATATGTAATTATATGTAAATATGCTTAACTAATTTTGACCAACCTCCACAAATATTGCAGAATCAATATGGAGAATTATTACCAACTGAATTACCCAATCAAGAGTACATAAAGTACCGAAATACGAATTTATTTGAAAGAAATCGTCCTGAAAATTCAAGTAATATTTATGATTCGTATGGATATAACTCTCCGCCGTCTTCTATAATGTTTCCATTGTACCAGCGTGAAGTGTCAAGTGAACTAGTATTTAATTCTTTGAATGAAAATTCGTTGTTACAATCGTTATTTAAAAGAAATTCAAACGAGAATAATCCCAAAGATAGAATTTTGGAAAGAGATTGGAACTCTAAAAAAATATTAGAATCATATTCAAAGAGAAAAAGATGTGATGAAGATGTATCAGACTTTTGTAGTGAAGTATATCTTCGCAACGAAGGTTTTTCAAATGAAAATTCTTTTGAAAAGGCAAGAAATTTGGCTCTATTACCACACAAAATAAACTCCACTGCGGAAGATATGTTGCAATTACGTCAGCGTGAAAATAATTCAAGCGAAATGAAATTTAATTCAATCAATGAGTCATCAAGATTTCTAAAAAATTCTTTTCGAAATGATTTTCTTGAAAATTCAAACAGTTCAAATTTTGAAACAGAATGGAACTCTGAAAAAATGTTTGGACCGTATCCAAAGAGAAGGAAATTAAATGAAAACGTTATGAGTTTAGATCAAAATTTTAATTATAAAGATAATATTGTCGTTCCGGGTCTATTTAATTATCAAAGAAACGATTTAAATTATCTAGAACAATCCGTATCACAAAAAAATACTGTGCAAAAATTACGATTATCAGGTAGGTATCATCAACGTTTTTATATACATAGGAAAAAAATTAATTCGTATGAATTTTTTTTTGTGCAGATATGGAAGAGTCATCAAACGCATATGAAAATATGATGAGCTTTTCTAATACGCCTAATCACAATTATATGGAAGGGTTTGGAGCTTTCTTAAACGAGCGATATTGCGAAAAAGAATTAATGAGAAATAATGTTATTGCTGAGTTGGATAGTTTAAGAAGTTGTTTAAATTATAAGATTGAATATGAAAGTGATTCATCTTCTTTTATACCATTTTTTATGGTATCTGTTGAGGTTGATGGTAGAAAGTACATTGGCGTTGGTCGCAGTAAAGAAATCGCGAAAGCGGAGGCTGCAAAAATGGCTTTAAAATATTTTCCTCACAAATTTGACAATTTCTTAAAAAGCGAGTTGTTAAAAACAAATTTTCCATACTGTGCCGAAAATAATATCCGGAATGTTTCATTTAAAAAACTAGAAGAAAAAAAAAATAATACTGTTGAATATGATGAAGATCCTGTGAGTTTTCTAACTGGACTTGTTAATGATATTCATTTTCGCTGTAGGAAAATTATTGACACACGGAATATTTCTCTTTTTAAAATGATTGTTGAAGTAAACGATCATAGATTCGAAGGAACTGGCAGATCTAAAAAGCTTGCTAAGGTTGCCGCTGCCAAAGCTGCGCTTGCATTTTTGGGAATATATTGTAGTCCAGTAAAGCTGTGCAGGAGAATGAAGGGAGTAGGTTATTTAGAATTACCCCAACGTAGTGCTGACGTGATTGGCAACTTAGTACTTAGACAATTTGAAACAATAATTAAGGGTAAAAACCTTCGTTATAGACGCAAAGTTTTATCAGGCGTTGTCATGACAAAAAATATGAATTTCGATGAAGCGAAGGTGGTTTGTGTTTCAACGGGAACTAAATGTTTATCTGGGGAGAACATTAACGCTAGTGGAAATGTGTTAAATGACTGTCATGCCGAAATAATATCGCGCAGGTGTTTATTAAGTTTTTTTTACTTTGAGCTAGAAAAACATTTGAATCCCCTAACTGTCAAACAGTCTATATTTGAAAATAATGAAGGTAATGCAAATTTTCCTTTTAAGCTGCGCGATGGAATACAATTCCATTTATATATAAGTACCGCACCATGCGGAGATGCAGTAATATTGAATCCACATTCAGACGTAATCAAAAGGGGACAATTACGTTATAAGGTAGAAGCAACACAAGGAACAATTGCCGTAACTAAATCTGATACAATTCAAACTTGGGACGGAGTTTTAAAAGGAGAATTACTTCGAACAATGTCTTGTTCTGATAAGATTGCTCGTTGGAATACCTTAGGTTTTCAAGGTGCTTTACTGGCAAACTTCATTGGTCCGATATATTTAAATTCAATAGTTTTGGGCAGTTTACTTTTCCCAGAGTCAATGTTTCGAGCTGTATGCGGTCGTATTCAAAAATCAATACAACGTTTACCCTCACCGTATACTTTGAATACACCTCTTTTAGGTATGGTTACATCTGTTGAAAGTCGTAACTTAGCACCACCACCAAATTCATGTATAAATTGGACAATTTGTGATAACAAAATTGAAATTGTCAATCCCAGAACTGGTAAAACAAAAGATAACCAAGTCTCACGTTTGGCAAAAATATCATTTTTCAGGAGATATTCAAATATAATTAAAAAATTGACAAATATATTTCACAAACCAGATTTTGATTACAGCAAGACTAAAAATTCTGCAAAAGATTATCAGTTTGTCAAAAATAAACTTTTTAAAGCATTTGAAAACGAAAACTTAGGTGTATGGTTAAAAAAACCGAAAGAACAAGATGAATTTCATTTTTCAGATTAGTGAGAGTAGAATCAGTTTGACGTAACATGAAAAATTGCATGCAGTTTGAGAATTGTGATTAGTATAAAAATGATAAACTAAAATCGCTTCAAATTTCAAATTTTGCTTTTTTAAATTTTTTTTTATTATAAAAAAATAAATATGCAGCTGGTAGAAATATCAGGTATGTAAATACAAATGTAGTAAATAGATATTTTAATTTCATGAACGAATAATATATAATCAAAATAAAAATATATTACAACTGATTTTTAGATGTTTTCGTTTAAAAAAATAATTTATTATTAATGAATATCATTAGAATATATCATTACTTCGAACAGGGCGCTTCATATTACTTCAACTTGGTGCTTATATTTGTCCGTAAGAAAAAACGTCTAGTATACAACACAAAGCTTTTCGTAGGTTTTTTTAGGTTTTTAAATTGATAACAAAAATATCAAAAATACAAAGTATGTATTTATGTCACTCGGTGCTTTTAACACTTACAAGAGAATTTTCAATTCAAAACAAAAAAAAAACGGAAGAATTATTGTAAATTTTATATTTTCAAGGAATTTTGTTTCTTGATTTATCCTTATTTTTTTTGTGTTTTCTTTTTTTATGTTTTTTAGATTCTAAGCTTGATTCAGAAAGTGATTTTTTTTTCTTTGATCTTTGTCGACTTGACTTTTTTTTTTTAATATTGGTAGTTTTCAAAACACGGACTACACTTGAATTTACTTTATGTGACTTATTGGAAACAATTTTCGCAGTTGCTTTGGCTGGTATTTCAATGTTTTGAAGAAATTCTTTGTCAGGTGATTCACTCCATCGCCAATTTCGTTTGTCACTGGTAACATCAACGTCGTTCCAACTAAAATTATTTAACCATATTTTAAATCTTAATACTATTTTGTAATTATTGTATCGATACCTCGTATCTGCCGATGATCGTTTGTCAACTCTATTTTCGATTTGCGATATATCACCATAATTTAAAGGTTTGTTATATTTATCTTCTGGATTTTTAAGTATATGAATATAATTGCATAACTTTCCTTTTAAGCAACTTTTCGAAAAAGATAGACCTATTAGTTAAGGAAATTGTAAAATTTTCGTAAATTTTTTAATGTGTTTCATATATACATATGTATACATAGTAAAGCTAATATTAATTAAATTATATGAATTTATATTGAAAATATAATTAATAATATAATTAAATATAATTGAATAATATTTCTACTATTTAGATTATTTTAAAAGGATACGATTTCATGTAAATTCGAAGAAAATAACTTCTCTCAAACAATGAATATTGTCATTCACGCACCACAAATTGCACTCTTCCAGGATATTATTGAACAAAACTCCACATTAATTTGTTTACTCGCATAAAAACGTCCTTGTAAATTTAAGTAAGCTTTCATGGCCGATCTAGGAGTATTTGTTATTATGATTAAATACAATTTAAAAATAATTTAAGTTTAATTACTTTTCGTTGACATATTCCACATAAACATTGCCCTTTAAATGAGGTACGCAGTTTTTTGCTGTTCGAATGTTTAGTATTGTACCAAATTTTTCTAATTCATTGGTTATATCTTCAAAGAATTCAGCGTAATCTTTATTGAGTTCATTTTCTGTGAATTCCAATAAAATATCGTCTCCATATTCGTTATTTTTAGCTTCATTTAATGATATATGTTGAAAAAAATTTCTTAACAATATAACTCGACTAACCCCAGGTCTAACATGATTTTTTGTGCAGAGATGGTTGTGTCGACAAACTGCTGTTTTAGTAAAAAACAGACATAATTCTTTGCCTGGGTTTGACTCTTTATTTTCTGTAAGTTCTTTTGGTAAATCTCCGATACCCTGCACAAAGTCGGTCAGCTTTTTTATGAAATATTGATGCTTACGCAATATTTGCTTTTGCAATTTGGCATTTTCCTCTTGTTTTTCTTTTTCACGTTTCTTTAGCTCCTCAATTTCCTTTTTTCTGATTTCTTGTTGAAGCTTTTCAGCTGCTTCAATTTGTATTTTTCTATCTTTTTCGTACTGGAACTGAATTTGAGCCAATCTTTCGCGTTCGAGCCATCGCTTCTCACCAAGCTGGCGCTGAAAATCTTCTTGTTCTTGCTGAATTTTTTCTATTCTAATTTGTTCATTTAACCATAGGTGATATTTTGGATCGTTTAATTTTTGCGCTTCTTCTATATTGTAATTCGTTTATAGTCATTTTATGTCCAATTTTGCATTCTTTCTACCAAATTACCTATTTCCTGTAGCCGTTCTCTTTCCTTGGCATTTTTTTGACGAATCCTTTTTCTTCTCAATTTTTTTGCAATTTTCCTTTTTTCTTTATGCCTCCTTAAACAAAAACAATATTTTATAATAATTGTAAAAAAATTTAAAGCTTCACCATACATTGATTGTTTATGTTAAAATTATATCCAAAATAAACAAACATGAAGGTAAATAATATGCTTCCTGAAAAGGTCTTGATACAATACCTTACCGACACTAACTAGAAAATTGACAACTGAAAAATGACAGGTTTTCTATAATGTATTACATACATTTGGCTGCCATGCCATGCAGAATTTGAAAACTTCTCTAGCGGCGAAAAGTCACATTATAGTTAGTGGTTGGTTGCGTTAAAAATCAAAAAACGCAAAAATTCGAAAATTGTTTTTAATAGGTCTGCCTGTTTATTTATGAAATAACGAACGTAAATTTCCCAACCAAGTCTTTCTTTTTTTAAAGGATTTGATTGCTATTAAAAACTTACCCACGGCGACTTCCTCTTTACAGCTTTTAAATATAAAATCTTTGAGTATACATCTTTTTAATGCTTTTTTAAACACATGGTTCTGTTTTGGATACTGACTTTAGTCAGTATGATTTTCTCACTATCTCGGTTATTCCAGAAAAGGCGGTTTGACTGTATTTGTTGCTATAAAACTATGTTTAACGCGATGCGCTTATTTTTTAAATATTGGCTTTTACAAAAATTTTAAAAAATAAAATACGAATATATTTTCGAAAGAAATTAAATTTAAAGCTTTTTAAAAAATTTATAGCAGTTATGAACGATAGATAAGTATTGATAATTTTTTATTTTATTTTATATTTAATACTAAGTTTTTTATATCATCTGGTATACCGTAACTTCAATAATGCGCTTACGAGGTAAATTTTACAAAGTATCAAGTTTAGTAAAAGCTTTTGACATTGCAAGTGCTGGTTATTAAGTTTTTTTCCTAAAATGCAGCATAAAAATGCAATGTTTTTAATGACTTGGTGACGTTGGATAAAAATTAACATTTGTATAGAACTTTAAATTGAACTTTTCAAAAAAACGTCAAAGTATGTAATAATATTGTAAAAATTGTATTCCAAAATGTATGAAAAGCTTTTGTAGTCTTTTTTACAATGTAAAGCTATTGAAAGCTTTGAAACGGAACTACAACCGTAATTTTTACAGCATTATTGAAGTCACGAATATTGTATCATCTAATTGAAGTGTTTAAATCAAATTCTAAACTCTGCAAGTTCAATCTTGCCGATAAACCAATATGAGTTGCCGCTCTTGTATAATAATTATGTATGTATATCATTGCTACAATTTACAATTGATAAAGTCGGATGAGCATTACACATCAGATTTATTTTGTATATTAAGCTTTTGACAGTAAATATTTTAAATAAAATATTAAAAAATAAAAAAATAAATACCCTCGAAAATGAACATATTTTGTTAAAAAATTTCTTATGTTATCAGTTTTGTACGACAGTTTTACTGAACAACTTTAAACAATATTAATAACAATAAATATAAATACATATATATATAAATCTTAATGACTTTAAAACAGTATAATTCTAAACGAATTTTAATACTATTATTCGCTGAAGTAGATGGTATATTCATTAATTGAGTTTCGCATACTAATTTATTCTAAAATAAAATATTTTACAAATAATATTTCAATCTACCCAATATTTTATTTCACTTACTGAATTCAATATGGCATCGGGACGGAACGTCTTCATATATTTTTTTGGTGGCCAAGTCTTCACTCTATAAAGTCTTCACTGTAATTATACAAAAAAAGATCATTTAAAATATTTTTTGCATGCTACGTTTTATCAAATACAAACTCATTTTGCATAAAAAAAAAGGGTCCTGGTAAAATTATGTTATCCAAAATAATTTTAGTTTAAAACAAAATAAAAACAAATGTTTTCTTGACAAAATTAAAACCTTAATAAAATTACAAATTAAAATTAGTAATATTCACACGTATATGTTGTTATAAAACGATTTGTTTTTACAAATGGAAATAACAATTTGGAACTGTACATCTTTTCTTTTTTCAACAGATTTTTTTTTCTCTTTTTTTCACTTGTTATATTTTTTTTTATAAGTTTTTATCAAATAGTATTCTTTTTTTAACACTTATTATTAAATATTTTATAATTTTTTATTTACAAACTGCATTAATTTTATAAACAAAATAAAAAAATTTTCTTTGTTTAGTTTTTATACAGCGGCGCATTTAATGTTGATTTCAGTTTGACAATGCTCGGAGCAAAGAAAGAGACTTACCTGAAGATTGAAACAAAAATGCTCTTTTTTTTAGTATTTCTAATTCGTTGCGTAGTCTTACAAAGAATACAAAATAAGGGCCTAGGATGACATGCAGTTTTTCAACTGGTTGATTATTTATTTATATTTCACAAGCTTTTAACACAATTCCTTTCGTCTGCAAAATTTAAAGGCTTCGTCTAAATGAACATTCTGATGTATGTAGACAACGCTAACAGCTACATAAATATTCCCGTTTTTATATAACGGGAATTATGTACTTGTTTACTCGAAGTAATTGTGTAGCTCCATAAGATGCTTATTTCCGTGCCCTTTGTCTTAAGTAGCATGTGTTTCGTCTTATTTCAGTTGAGGGTCATTTTGTGAACACACATTCAACATGACAAAGTTAAACTTTTGTTCTATTCTTCCAAAACATGAATGCAAACAATAACGTTTCGAGCAAAATCGATTTAAATATTTGTTTTTCTTATGTAAACGTAAACCCAAATAAAACTATAATATTGCAACACATACATAAGCTTGAATGCAAGAACTTGTTATTGCGACTAAAATACGATATCGAATTATGGTTTCATATTTTTATATATTGTATAAGTACATACATATGTACTACCCCATACAACTTTAAAATGAATTTTGCTATACATATGTTAGAAATAATAGAAGTTATGGTATTGAAATTTCGTGCAAACGAATGTACGAGTGTTACTCGTATTCGTTTTTAGCTTCTTGTGTTTGATAAAAGTCGTTCAAATTGGTTGGCTCTTTCTGGTAGCTGTTATGCAACTTGAAGAATTATTTCGTTATATCATCAAAACTGTTCAACATACAGTTCTGAAATTTTGCCAAAACAAAATATGGTAAAATGGCCTATATTCGTTAAAAGTTGTTATGATTTCACGAGCGATAGATGCAATATAACTTCCAAAGTTGTTTGGCAATATCTCAGAAATTATTCAGGGTATATTTTTGAAAATATATTCAAGCAAATATCGTAGTAGGACTGTTATATTTGCCATTGAAATTTCCCGACTACTTGTAACTTCATAAGTTGTTCGAACAGAGGTCAGAAACTATTAAAGTTACAAAACTGAAATTTTTACCTGTACTTTTATACGGGATTGTTTTAAAATAATTTTTAGATGAAAATATGTACAAATGTTTTATTTTCAGATTTTACAATAACTTGGCATTCATTTTGACATTAATAATAAATAATTTTAATGATTATAATAATAAAATGTGTATGGTTTTGTTAATAAATACCCAAAGATACATGCAAACTTACATGCATATATTATATTAAAACTCCAAAGTTAAAGTTTTATGTTTAAAACTCCAAGGAATTATGAAGTAGCTGAAACGTTCAAACTGCTATTTGGTGGTTGGTATGAACTAAATTGAATTAATATAATAAGGTATGTAGTAGTTGCGCCAGCAATCTAAAAAATCAAATATAAAAATATTATTTGGTTCCAATTATTTCGTACTTCCAACTATTGTTTATAACTATCAAAGAGTCGATTTTATTTTCTAAATTAACAATATGTATGTCTTTTTTAAACCTCTATTCTCAAGCTTCAATCACAATTCACTTTATTTAGTCCCCTCTCCGAATGCAGGGGTATAGAATATTACTCATTTAAATGTATAAATAAAATTTACTTGGATGCAGATTCTGAACCGATCTTCAATGAAAGTTTGCTCCATTATATTTCGTAATCATATCATATCCAATATAAATAAAAAAGCCGAGTAATAAAAATTCTAATTAAAAAAAAGTTTGAATACAAATTTGGTTTCTTTCTTTTCAGTAAACTTTGTTTCCAGGTTTATATTTGTTACTAAATACAAATGCATATCGTAAATTTTTGTAATTTTGCGTTTTAGAAATTAAAAGTCAAATTTTAAAAAAACGAACGGTAACATAAAAAAGTAAAAGTAGTGAGTGCCCAAACTTAATTACAAATACTTTCAAAATTAACAATATTGTTTTGCTTTACAAAATCAAGTTCTTTCTTTATCTTATTCTTTTTTTATCTATTTCTTCAAATAGACAAAATTCTGTAATAATAAAAAGATAGATTCTTACAGTTAATTATAACTGTGAAAGAGTAAGAACTTTCATAAATACTCTCACCCTCTGTCACTTTTTCCTGTCACCATATATTAGATATTTCGAAATATATAAGAAAAGTACGATAAGAACTTTACATGTAACTTGGTCTTTTAAAATAATTGAATATATTTTCTAATAAAACACATTTATTTTGTTGACTTTTTTACAGAAAATCCAAATCTTAAGCTTTAAAAATTGAAATTCTTATTTTGGGGAGGATAATTTTAAAGAGTATTTTTTTTTCTTCGGAAATGGGATCTTTATTAATGTTTGGGAGTTATTTACGAGTATGCGCGATTTCGAATAAAATTTCTTCTGGAGAAATATATTTCTTAAGATCCATTTGTATATAAAATTGTTTTCTATTTAAAGGATGTAGAATTGTTGGAAAGTTTTCAGCGAGATCTACAGCCCTATGAGAGCCCAGATCCCGATTCAAAAAAATTAAATCAAATACAAGAATTAATGTTGAAAATGGTTTTATGCACTGTACACGGATATTGTGTAACTGATGCTTGGTAAATTGTTTGAAAAACAAGCTTTTAGTTCTTTATTTGTCGCTAAATAACATTTTATCCTTAAAGGTACTCGTCATATTTTAAAGCACCTATTGCCAAAAATGTTATGACAATATTTTCTTTTAGTATTATACACGTTACAGTGACATTGCAAATTATTATAAAGTTCGTCTTTTTTGCAATACCGAAATCGATTCATGTATTTGAGGGTAATAATCGTACAATACATATCGTCGATATTATGGAAGAGTCACGAAACTGTTTTTTTTTTTTTTTTTCTCGAAAAAATGCATTTTAAAAATTTACACAAAATAATGTCAATTTGCAGATACGTCTAAAATTTACAACGTACTTTTTCCGAAAATACTAACGTTAGCGAGTTACATGGGTTTTTTATAAAGATAGTTTAGAAAATTTTGAATATTTCTGTATATGAAACTCAAGTTTCTTATAAAAGCAGTTTCGTGATTCTTCCATAATACCGAATATGTGCTTGCAATACAAGTATATATTATGTAGATCATAAAAAATGTGGTTGCAAAAAAAAGCCTATAATAGATTAAAAAGAGGTTTAAAATTTTCCAAGTTTTATTTTAAAATGTAGAATTTCTGTGCTTTTTAAATTTGTAATGTTTTTGTTTTATGGTTCGCGTTTCGTTTTTCGAAGACACGAAACTGCAACATATACATATACATACCGTAAAGTATAAGGTCCTATCTAAATAAAATAAACCAGCAGCTGAAAATCTGACGTCACGGTTTACTAACTGCAATGATAATGCAATCAATGATTCTTTTTCATTTGTGTTGTCAACATGTGACAATATTTTGTGAACATAATTCAAAGTTTTTTGGTTCTAAAACGAAATAAAAAAAAAATGTTTTATGTTTGTATAAAAAAATTATTATTTATTAAAAAAAATGGAGACGTTACTAAACTTTACAAAATTTAATGTTAGCTGCTAGAACTACATAAAATCATTGTGTACGAGTGATCCTTGGGTAGATGTTTTTTTTAGTTTTTATGATATATTTAATGTAGAAAAAAAAGTAAAAAATTTGTTTGTATTTATGAAAAGAAGAATTTTGCAAAATTTTTTGAGGAAAACTTTTAAAAATAATTTAATCTTTATCATTAATTTGTTTATATGTTTCCTCTTTTTTAATGCCAATGTAAATTTGATGGACACTATGTTGCAAAACTTTTTGTTCCCTTATACAAATTATCTTTATTTTGAATTTATTTTATTTATATTTAGTTTTTTTTTTAATTTCGAAGAATTGGTTGTTTAGACTTTTATGTATGAAAGAGTTTTTATTTTGCGCTCATTAAAGCGTTTTTGCATTTCTTCTTGAATTTAGAGTTTTAAATTATATTTATTAAAACAGTCGTTTATAAAGGGTGAGTATTCAATTATAATGTGTATTTACTATTGAGTAGTATTGCTGCAGTGACGATGTATTAATGTTTAATAATAAAGAATTAATAATAGTAATAAAAAATAAACTAATTACATATATACATACAAACATATCATTTTTAAAATCTTACTTCTTGCATTGTTGAATTGCTAGCTTCAGTTATTCCAGCTATAATCATCACATATAAAAATAGTTGAATTGAAAAGAATAATATAACTTCGGTGGCTAAAATGTTTGAACTATTTGGTGATGGAAATACAAGAGCTTGTAATATATAATAACCATCAAATATTATATATAAAAATGAAACGGAAATAATTGCTAACATTTGATAACTTAAACAATCTTCCAATATTTCACATACATCACATAATAAATTGTGAATGTGCATAACTAATTTTAGAGGATCTTTCATATGAAGGCAATGTCTTTCATCAAATGTAAATGTGCATTTAATACCATGACAGCATTTAATATTTTGCCCAAATTTTTCAATGTCAATTGAGTGACCATCAGGTTTCAAACGATTTAAATAAATTTCTAAAACCTTTAAAGAAAAATTAATGGAAAAAAATATAATTATTAGTTTAGTTTTCTAAATGTCAATTAATATTATTATATATAATAGGAAAGATGTTTAAATATTCAAATTAAACACTAAATAAATTAATTTAAAAATCTTAAACAACGTAACTTAAATATTAACATTATACATAGGTACATATTACAAAACGAAAAGAAACATCCACATTTCTATTAAAAAATATTGCATAACTTCAGGAAAATAAAAAAAATTGCTATATGCTGAAATTGCATGATTTGATGACGTCTGAATTTATTTAAAGTTAGAATTTAATCTAAAATTGAAGAATTATAAAAAAAGAAAAAATAATTTAAAGAATACGAAAAAGAGCTTGCAAAAAACCCCATATAGGATCTAGAAATTTTAATGCTAAGCAAATGGTTTATAACATAAATTTCTATATTTTTTTAAAAATTCATATTTAATTTCATATTTATTAATTAGTTTTAATATTAAGTTTATATCCTAAATAAACAAATTGGCTTATAATTGTATCTTGCACGTGTACGTGATACAATATAACTGCAAATCCTTCACCTTACGGTAATTTCATTTTACTAAATTCCAAAATATCTAATAGTCTTTATTAATAGTAACATTTAAACCTAATTTTAATGAAATTGTTAAGCAAGCATATTAGTTTGCATTTAAATGTTTTCAAATTATTTTCTTAAAAATTTTTTGAAAAGCAACTCCCATCTTTTCTTATACATACTCAATTTACAAATGTAGTAAATGAGGTACTATGCGTTCTACTCACATAAGCGTTTTTTAACTTACAAAACTTAGGTGTAATAATATTTATCATAAAAATATATTTACAAAAAAATTTAATATACCTTGTTTAATAGTGATACTCGAAAACGTATTATTTTTGATAATATAGAAAATTTTATTATAACTAAAGCAATATTAAAGTATGGTAAAAAATATGATGTATAAGCTTCAAATGATGGATGAACCCCAGCATATGTTATTAGTTCATAGCTTCCAAAGTAATAAGCCCAATTTGCAATAAATATAATTGCCATCCAAAAATAAGAGAATTTAAGAATTTTTTTATAATGAATATTCATTCCAAATTTTGTCAATTCAGTATCAATAATTTCTAAACCTGGTAAAATAGCATTTGCCGAATTATTTAATAATGAATGTGTAAAAATTATTCCAACAATTACAACACCAGATATAACTTGTAGAAAATCACCAAATCTTTAAAATAAAAAAAGAAATTGTTTTTGTTTTCAATAAATTTGTTATACATGGCGTTGTCATCGTATTAAGGTTTTAACTAAAAATTTTTACCTTGAAACTTCACTCTGAAAGAAATAACCTACAAGGGTTTCTTTTCTCATTATTGTAACTGTAAAACAAATTCCATAAACAGCTAAATGCAGTAATGTTAAAATATAACCAAATGCTTTAACACAAAAACTTTTCGTGTTTATAAACGTCGGTGAAAGACCGCTTAAGTAGCTAAGTAAATATGCTGGTGCTACGGAACTGTAAACATCATCAGCTTCTGTTAATCTTTTCATTGAATAAATTGACGACATAATTATATTAAAATTTTTTAGAAAATTTCAAATAAAAGCCTATCTTATTAATAAAATTATAATTTTTTAGGGTTTAATAATTTCTTTTTTTCTTAAAGTAATATAAAATATTTTTATATTTTTATCAATATTGTCCGATAATTAAATTTATTTTCCGATATTTTTATTAATGGATAATATAAGAGCACTTTTATGACTAAAAAAATTTTATAAAAAAATATCTTAGTAATTTTTATTCCTAATAAAATTTAATGTTAATTTCATTTAATAACAATAAAAATGTAAAAATAAAGGACAAAAAAAAATTAATAATTATTTTGTAGTTTATAAAAATATAAATATTTTATTAGCTCGCAATTAAATTATAGAAAAACGTAGAAGGGGGAATTATTGTCATTTTCAAAAAAAGAAAAAAAAATTTTTATCCTTCTGGAGATACTTTCATATAAGGACTAAATTAAAAATTATAATCAACGTATACAACGTATATAAACATATACAAATATACAATGTTATTACATCATTACTATTTTACTTTGATACCTAATATAACATTATATAATTTATAATAGTATACAAGTATAATTACATAGAACTTTCATGAAATACCAAAGCGATTTCATAATGCTTGTACACATAATGGACTTGAAAAACAAAACAAATGAAAAAGTAAGAGAAAAATTTTATGGTAATTTTTGATTTTTTATGAAATTAATTTTTAAAAGTGAACTATTAAAGTGTTTAACAATTTGTTAATTTTATGTTTCCTATGTTACTATTGTCACAAAATTAGCAATATAAGAAATAAATTCGGATAACACCAATGGTGTTCAAAGTTGCACATTTTCTTGAAAAAGTGAAAATTTTTTTTAATAAAGTTGCTTCTAACTCACTAAAAGCAATCTTCTACATTATATAAACTACTAGTTTCATTGATGTACCAAAATTATATATAGAACTATTGCCTACAATTAGGATGGAAAAAAGAATTTGAAAGAAACATTACCAACGGTTAAGTTAAGAAAAATAATTATATTTTTTGATGCTATTACCCTTAGCATTCTGTATTTATAGAAATTTGGAAAGGTTACAGTTTCACAAATATAATATGACGTACATTCATATTTTACAAATTTGTCGGGACGATAACTTGAGGGGCCATTGAGTTAGAAACAAATTTTCTTCGAGGAAAATAAACTGTTTTTTAGTATCTAAAAACTGTTAAAATTTCAGACTTATACAACTTGTAATCAAGAAGAAGAGCGGTATCAAAAATTTGAAAAAAATGAATTTTAAATAACGGTTAATTTTAGCGGCCATTTTGTTTTTTAAAACTCAACAAAGCTATGCCGCGATGGAAAAAGCTCACAACTATTTTTCTGCGTTTGTTAAATTTAAAATTTTTAGTAGTTTTGTTACAGTAAATAGACAAAAAGCGGCACTTTTTGGAATTTGAGGGGCTATAACTTTTAGATGATAAAAATTTCTTCTACGAAAATAAGTTTTTAGTAAAAATGTAAAAATACCAGCTTTCTATCTTCAAAGGTGTACAAGTTTTGTAACCACGTCCACGAATGGACGGATGGAGTGGAAATAATAAGCACTTTTTTCAAAATTTATTTTGGAATAGTGCCATAAAAATCAATAATCTTTTATTAAAATATTATTCTCGTGAACATATCAAAATTAGATCATGCAGTATTGAATACTTTTACGGTAAGAATGAAAATTAAAAGAAGCATTAACATAATGGGCGAATTCGGTAATTTTATTTTTTGATGGAAAGAAGTTTACTGCTAGTTTGCTGTATTAAAAAGCCGAAAATTGAAATTTGTTTATTGTGAGAGGTGACAACTTGGAAGGGAAGGAAAATGGAAGCGAGTTTATTTCGAAAAAGCTAAAAATTTTATTTAATTTAGAAGAAGCAATTTGTTATATTTTACGTTTGCGAAATAAAAAAATTATAGGTTAAAAATAATTAAAAAAATTATTACATTCTTTACAAAATGATTGATATTCAGTAGCTTCCTAAGTGTGTACATTTTATAATTTTGACCCATATCGTTTTGCTTGCTAAAACAGCTATGACAGAATTATCAAATAGTTCCCATTGAATTCATCTTTTGGGTTTAAAATTGATAAATGAAAATTGTCTTATAAATGAGCTACGAGTATATTAAAGAGTTAAAGTTTTAATCTATTTTATTATATAAAGTATAACTGACATCACAGCTATTAAAAAAGTTGGTAAAATGATTATACGATCAAAATTTAAATACAAATATTCAAACTATAATTTTATTCATAATATTCAAACCCATAATATTCAAAATATACCACATTGTATAATTTCCAATTAATTTTTGTACGGTAGTATAACGAGAATAGTAAAATTTCCCCAAGAGTATTCATCCATTATTTAGTTAAGAGAGTCGACAAGTAGAAACTTATTAACATTTAATATAAAATTTTTATTTTCTATAATTAATATTAAAGTAAAATGTTATTAATGGTTGAAATTAAGGGTATACTAACAGGGTTTTAAAACATTTCTTATATACTCAAAAACTGTCTTTTTAAGGTCTTTTAGAAGATAATACAATGTGTGTGAGTGATATAAAACATAAAGAGTAGAAGACAAAAGTGGTTGTTTTGTTTGTTGTGTTTAATCGTATAATTTCGGGATCTATGAAAAGAACAAAAGAAAGACTAATTCAAAAAAATTTGAATTGCAAATATTCATGTCATTGTAGCATTTTTATTTGGAATTACTGTATTGACGCAATTTTGAAAGCCTTTCTATACGGTAAGAATGAGAAGAGGAGAATTATGGGAACAAAAAATATGTTTAAATTAAGCAGAAATATGGAATAATAGAAATAAAATGCTTTATAAAATCATATAGATAAAATCAAGGTTAGAATTTCAGTAGTTCTGTTGCAATAATTGACCAGAAAAACAAAAAATCTAAAATTGCAGCAAATTTAAAGTAATTCAAAGAATTGATATTTGAGCACGTGAAAGTAATAAATTAAACCAAGAACCTGAAACTAATATTTGAAATTCACTAAAAAATTTTTACTTTATTTAAAATATATGTTATTTCCTGCGGACTACTATTTTTAGCACTTTTCCAAAAATTTTTAGAAAAAAAGTGCTTATTAGTTTCATTCTGTCCGTCCGTTCGTCCGTCAGTCCGTCCGTCCGTCTGTCAGTCCGTCCGTCCGTCCGTGGACACTTTTTTGTTTACAAAACTTCTACACCCTTGAAGATAGAAAGCTGAAATTTAATACGTACATAGATCTTTACTAGAAACTTATTTCCGTAGAACAAAATTTTTACCTATATCCCCCCCTCTAGAAGTTATACCCCCCAAAACCCTAAAAATGGCCTTTTCAACTATTTGTTGCAAAGGCCAGCTTACCCTAGCGCGGTATACTATAGTTAAACTTTAGAAAAACAAAATGGCCGTTAAAATTTACCGTTATCTAAGGTCCTTCACTTGTTGAAGGGAAAAGTGCTACAGTACAAACCATTGGTTTGACCCAACTTTATTCATTAAAAATATACACTAGATAAAAAAAAACATAATAGCGCTTAATTTAATAATGTTATTTAACCATCAATAACGCTTAATGGTCGCATTAGATGGTTAAGTTAATTAGTTAAGATAAATAATTATACTTTTTATTGGCATGAAATTTGCTGCTTTTGTAGAAATTTGGAAATGCTTGCATTTTCCGAAAGTTAAGTCGCCGAAAATTTAAAGGTCGCATTGAACAAAAATTTCTTGTAACACTAGTTTTAATTAAACTAATAATTTCAGACTCCAACAAGTTTCAGTCTGGAAAAAGAACGATATCAAAAATTTGAAAAACTCGTGTTTTGGGTAGCGGTGAATTTTAATGCTCATTTTGTATTTTTAATGTTCAATTTGGCTGTGCCAAAGAGTCATTCTACTATTTTTCTGCATTTGCGGATTTAAAATATATTTGTGGTTTTACTAAAGATTAATTATATTTGTGGATTTATTTGTGTATAAAATTTCAGCTTTCTATCTCAAACATTGTAAAAGTTTTATAAGCGGACACATGGTCAGACATGTGTTTTAAGAGAAATAAGCACTTTTTTCCAATTTTGCTTTGGAATCGTGCTAAAAAATGACTTTATCTTTTATAAATATATTTATAAAAGATAAAGTCATTTTTAAAAACTAATTCTAAAAAAGGTTGAAGCTCAGTTGTATTTATTATTTTTGTTTTATATCTGTTGTGCAGAAATTTGGTTTGTATATTGTGAAACATGTTTGTGAAAACTACAACCGCACTTTTGTGAAAATTACCCAGAAAAAATACATTTTTGTGAAATTCTTTTAATTTATTTCTATCTCACAATTAGAGATTCAATGCTAATTGTTACAGAAAACACAATATAAGAACTGAAGTCTGCAATAACTTTTTCTTATTTCTGTTTTTGTGAATTTGTGAATAATTAACGAAACATTGTTAATAATTTGAGAGCAAATTGCACTACAAATTTGCACTATAAATTTTTATAATATTCATTTAATAAATTTAAATTGAATTTGACACTTACAAATGTTGCAATTGAGAATTCACCAATGATTTTAATATTATATGCTTATAAAAATATTACATTAGAAGGTGACAATATTATTTTATAATTCCTGTAATAGACAAATATTATTACATAAATATATACATATGTATATGCAACACGTAGTTAGCCTTATAAAGATTATCTTATAAAGATATCTGAATGCTATTTAATAATCGGTTTAAAATTTGTGTTGGCGTATGTTATAAATTAAAAGCAAACAAGGGCTCATGTAATCAAATTTAAATGTCATTCAATAAACTTGAATATAAAATACATGATGAATTTAAAATTAAATAATTTCGATACTATTTAAATTATGAATATATAAAAACTTTCAGACGTGAATATCCTTATTAATAAATAAATTAATATGGCAATAAGGTGAATATTTTACACATGAAAATTTCGAACTATTTTTTTTATTTTGTTTGCATTGCATTTTAATTTCAATTTTCTCTTCGGGAACGAAATATGTATAATATTTAAATAAAATTGATTAATATTTGTTCAATAAGCAAAAATTAATAAAATTCCACAATTTCAACCTTATAATAGTAGTAGATAATTTTTATAGGAGTACAAATAAGTAAATCTACATATTTTTGATTATAAATTCTTCTTAATCCTTAAACTTTTGAAATTTCTTGAAACACATAAACGAATATATTTAAATATTTTTTTATTTTCAAGTAATTCAAGTTAAATTTTTTTAGTTATACTTGGAACTAAGTTATATATAAAAATAAAATGTGTATATATTCGTGTACAAAAAGAATATCTTGTAAAACAAAGTAATTAAATGGAATAAAGGTGAGTCTTTATAAATTCTAATTAAGAAAATAACAAACAAAATAAAAAAAATATTTGCTTTTATTATTGAAAATTTCTTTATTCGTTAAACAAACTACAATAAACCTGTGGTTAATTTATGGTTTTTTAAAGCAGCGCGTTTCTCTTAAAAAATCAAATGGCTTTATCGAAATTATATAATTATTCCATTATTTGCATACATTCGAGATTATAGTTAAGAATTAAAAAACAGCATTAGATAATTCAAAATCTATGGGACTTTGATATTGCATATAATATACGTATAACATAAGAACGGGTTTAATATCAGGTCGAATAAGTATTTACACTCTTTCAACTCTTCCCTTTTGGACAATACAAATACAATAAATTACAAATAAGGAAAAGAAGAAAAAAAAGAAAATTATCTATTTGATCCTATAATACAACAATGATGCTCTATACGCAAAATATTTAATCAACGAATAAGTTAGGATCGAAACCGTAATAAGCATCATGTTGCTAAAATTTGAAGTTGTGTCTTGAATGCAATCGCTTCTCATGTATCATATTTGAAAACTAGATACTGTACTCTTTTTAATATATTTTTAATTTCAAAACTCTTATATGATAAAATGTGAAAAAGTAAATTAAATATCCGAGTAAAATTTGCTGAAAATCTACTCGATTAAATATGATGGAATTCTCCTCACACCTAGGTTGAGTAATACGGAATTTAATTTTCACTCATATAAATTAATGAAAAAATACTAACAAGTTTTTTGAAAAGTCATAAAGTATCAAATCGTGAGCAGCATTAATTTGTACAAGAATGGAAATAGAACGAAATTCTTAATTAACACACCTAACGAAAATTTTATCAAAAAGTAAAGCTTATTTATTTCCATATATGCGTCGTTTAAGAAATTTGACGCATGAACAGGCAAAGTGAAATTCATAACAACATTTCTTTAAAATCTCTTGAGAATTTGCTAAAAAATGAAGACTTTTTCCATATACAAAAATTTTATTATCTTTTTTTTATTTTATAGTGACTTTATGTAAAAGTTCAAATTTATACAATATGTTGTTATAAAAGCATTTAATTCTTACCTGATTTAACATAGATATTCTGAATGCAATTAATTTCATATAACTTTTAAATTTGACCAAAACCAATGCCATGTGAATATATGGCATTACAAATGTTGAGTAAACTTCAAAGGATGGATTTATGCCAGTAAATTTTAATAAATAAAAGCAACCAAAATAATATAAAAAATTAAATATAAAAATTATAAAGGTTATTAAATATGAATAATGAAGAATTTTTTTATAATTAAATTTAAAACCAAATTTTTGTAAAATTCCATCAATTATTTGTAAATTTCCTAATAGTATATTGGATGAATTTTTTGTTAGTGCATTGATAAAAAGGATGCACATAATTAAAATTCCACAAATTCCTTGTAAAAAATCACCAATTCTTAAAACAAAAACAAAAAAAAAAATCAAATAATCAATTTTTTAAATTTTTAAATTTAAATTTATTATTAAATTTTTTAACTTAAAATATATATACCTGGTAACACTATTATGGAAAAAATATCCTACAACTGTTTGTTTTTGATATATAGAAATAGCACAACATGTAAAATATACGGCTATGTGTAATATACTGAAAATATATCCAATTATTTTAGTTGCAAAATTGTCATTATTCGGCAGTATTGGTCCTAATCCACCAATATAAGTGCACACGGATATTGGTTTAACAGCAGAATAAACATTATCGGCATTAAAAATTGTCTCTAAATTAATACTTGACATAGTTAAAAAAGGAAAATAACGGTAATATACTGTTAAAAAATGCTTTTATCCGCGATACTGATCCCGATAATTATTATTGCAGCTTTGAATTTCTTCTAATAACTAAACATTTTCTTCTGAATACACACTAAGGCTTTGAATTAATTTTTCTTTTACATTAATAGCACGCAAAATATGTGAATACGAATACTTACTTGTATTAATATTTGCAGTAAAAAGCAAAAAAATATTTTTTTACTTTTATTTTTGTTGAACTTTGTATATCACTTATATAATACCAAACCTTATATAATAGTGAAATATATACATAAATCTATGTTTATGTGATATGCATGTAAGTATTATAGAAATTATAAGTAGGTATACGTATCGCACCTTGTCAGTATATACAAATCTTATGGCAAGAAATAATACCGTTTTACAACGGTATTACATTGCAGTATGTGTTAGTGAACCATTTAATACAACAAGTGAATATTTTTGTTAATTGTAATATTTTCGTGTTAACTTCATTAAATATTTCAATCAGTTTTATAGCCCTTGAAAGGTGTCTGTATGTACACAATGTGAAACGCGTAAATGATATCGATACTTTGGTATGCAATATAATAAATGTATAAAGTAAGTAAATAAGTAAGGATAATTAAATTGAAGTAGGTAGGGTTAATACTAAAGTTTTTAATAAGTTTAAAAAATTTTTGTTTTTTCTGGTATTTCTTTGTTTATGCAAAAGAAGAAATTTTCATTTTTAAATGTTAGACTTTCGACAGGTTTTTTTATGAACATAAAAATGTTAATTTTTTAAACATTCGCCTGTATATATGCAATTATTGTAGAATCAAAATTTTGCCAAATCTTCTACATGTAGGTAGCATATTATAGGGGGGGGATTATGTAATGGCGCCAAATTTCACATGTTGAGTTTTTAACGGAAATGCATTTTTTACGAGAAAGAACCGTAAATAAACTCCTCTTTGAAGAGATGTTGATCTGTTTACTATCGGCCTTTATACTTATCAATCTGTCAGTGTGTTCACTGTTATATTTCGGCTCAACCAATTCATAATTTTAATTAAAGATGTATTGGTTAAGCTTTGAAAAGTCATTGATTAATCAATTTTTTTTGGATATGTCATGTTTTAGGAACTGGACATTTACTATAGGTAGAATTTATATTTAAGACCGTTATGTATATTGAGAGATAATAAATAAATTTCCTTTAAATTTAATATATAAAATGGACTTATGCTTAGTGCTGATTTTATGTTTTATTGAAATTTATAAATTGATTTGACAAAGCTGAGAGTACTGAAAAAAATAACTTTGTAAACTTTCTAAAGTTTTTACGGTTCAGCTTTTACGTTAGAGTAATAAAGTTTCGAAGCAGTTTAGAGACTGTTTAAAAACTGATTTTTCTACAATCTGGAAGCCACGAATACTATAATGTATTGAATTTTAAGATGATTTCGTTTTTTGTTTGATATGACGTAGTCTTAGTTTGATAATACCGTCTTGGTTTTAAGATTATTTGAAATTCAATTTTATGTTATATAGGATTATAAGATTACCCTTTTATTTGTGTAATATCAACTTGAATTTTGTGCAGCTACAATTACACCTATTGTATATCGAAATAAAGAAAATATTTAAACCGCAGATCATAATGAATGAGTTCTACATTTCTGAGGACAAATGTATATGTATATTACTGTATATATAGGTAGAATTATGCTTATATGTGCGAATTTTATTGCCGATATAGTTACGATTTATATGAAATGGTCTCAAAGTATTTTCGCAGTTTGAATTACAAAAGAATAACCTGGATATGAGATGAAATGCATGTGCTACATTTTATGAATTTCATGAATGATTTATGTAGCTGAAATTTTTCGTAAGCTTAGTGCTTTATAGGTTTTTCATTAAAATGGAAATCAAAAATACTACAAATCTACCAATTAAACTACTTACATAAATATTGAAATTGCAATTAAGAATAGTTTTGAATAAATGCAAGTTTATGTAAGCAAACATAAATTTACTTTACTTGACTCTTTGTTTTTATATTTACCCACATGGTACAACAACTAATTCCATATTTATTATTTGTTTTCCTTGTTTTTTTTTTTTATTTTTCTAAAGCCTTTAATCCTGCATAAAACTACTTTTGGGAAACATTTAAATTTTATGAAAGTCAAAGGATTATTATGATTTCGTACACTATCTGCTTATCTGATTAAATTTTAAAACCATTTTATTTTATTGAACAAGTTGTTTTATTTAATTAACAAAACAAAAATTAATTTTCTGATAGTTTTACTGAATGATTTTGATTATTATTTGGAGACAAAATAAATAATTGGAACACGCAAACTTTAAATTTTTTAATACAATAAAAAAATAATTATTTTTAAGGTTTTGTACGTAAACTTTGTTAATTATAAATAAAATTAATATTCAAAGTTAAGTTGTATGGTGAACAGTTTGCTATCACATACTTAAGAAATTACAAATGCTTATATCCTTTACTTCCGAAGGTTATTTTCCCTTCGGGTATAATTTAATTGCGTTGGCTAAAGTTACGGCTGTTATTTTTGAAATGTAAGATAATATTGTAAATTGATTTTTAATTAATTTTGTTTCTTTGTACATGCATATATGTAGAATAGCGAAAAAATATTAGTAATTTTGGGGGCAGCATATAAAACCGAAAGCACAAAACCAATTTAAGTTTAATTTCGAATTATAATAATTTTTGGGAATGATGTCAACAAAATTATTTAAAAAAGTCAATTAACGAAACATAAAAAAAGTAATTACGGAGTACTTGCGAGGAATTGAAAACGGATTTTAACTAGGGTAAGAATTTTAATTTATGTTTATGTATGTAAGCACAAAACCAAATGATGGTAAACCATTGAATAGTTAAAGTGTATAAAAAAATAAATTCTAAAATAAACTATTTATTGTAGATGGTTTTTATTACTTAAAATAAATAGTAAATTAAAAAATTAATAAATTTGTAGCGATAAGCGCGAGTAAAATTGTTGCCCTTTTAAGAATGTCTGAAAACTTCAAATATAAAGTACGAAAACATAGTGGACGCCTGGTTTGATTACGATTTTTGTTTATTTTCCATAAAGTAAGAACACTTTGATTAATGCATTAGGACCAAAACTTTAGCAAATTAGTTTCCAATTATGAATACTCCCTGCATACAAATCATTATCTACGGAGAGGCACAATCTATGTATTTTGTTCGCAATTTCTTATTACACATTAAAACTGTAAAATTACATTTATAGTAACAGTGCAAGCATTGAAAAAATCAATTTTAGTTTAATTAATATACTGTTATATTAATATTAATGTCTGATTATAAAGAACTTAAAAGGTATTGACCAGTGTACACTAATAAAAACCACAATTTCATTGTATTAGTAATTATTAAAGCGAATTTATTTTAAAGTATATTATAGTCGTACATTATGTAGAATTTTATTTTATTCGACAGTTAAACTTTAGGCACATGACATACATACAAAGTACTTATACTTATTTTACTCATAGATTCTTAAAAAACTGTTTTATTGTTCTCAGGAGGAATTTCTGGGAAATTGGCTGGCGGTATACTTTGGTGTGAACTGAATTGCACTAAAACTATTAAATATGTAGTGGTTGCTCCCGATATCTATATATCAAATATTATAAATTAATAAAATAAATTAAAAATAATTATAAAATAAGTTTTTGTAAAAGAAAAGAACAAATTACCGTAAAATATAATGTTCTGTCCAAATTAAATAACCCGGCAGCAGTAAATGTTATTGGGCGATTCATAATTTGTGAACTAAAATTTCTTAAGCAATCTTGTATTTCGACATCATCATTTATATTTAACATTTTATGGATTAGTGTCAAACTTAAGCGGCTCTTTTCATTGAGTTTTATTTCATTAAAAAAAATTATTTTAGTTAGAGATTTTAAATAAATTTCATTTATTTTACTTTACCTGTTTAATTGTCTTATTCACTGATTCTACAATTCCCAATATTATAATAATGTACAGGAACATTTGTATACAAAAGAATATTAAGAAATCATTATTTCCAACATTGGATCCATTTGTCTGATAGAGGACTGCAACAAGGATATAATACCCATCAAATACAATATAAATGAATGAAATTCCAATAATGATAAGCATTTGATATGTAAAGTGATCATCAACAATTTCACAGGCATCACATAAAAGATCATAAATTTTTATAGCTTTTTTTATTGTCATGATTTTCAATTCAACTTTATCAATTTCAACTGTACATTGACGATAAACTGAACGGCTTGAATTTTTCTTTTTAATTTCAATTGGATGAATATTGGTTGGTTGATTAATCGATTTATTTTGATTTTTAAATTTCAAATCTTCAAGCATGTTATTCAAAATCTGTTGAATAATAAAAAAGTAACTTATTAATTTTTAAATAAAAATTTTGTTCGGTTTAATCTATGCTTTTTATAACAAATGTAAAAAAATGTTATGGTTTCAAAGTATAAAACTACTTATATTTGGTTCGCATATTTTATAATGGTGACAGAATTCTATTTTGGAGTTTCGATTTAAAATTGGGCACAAAATTGTATAATTAAAAACGTTATGTGTTACGAATAAAGGTCATTTCTTAGTTACTAATTTCACCAGTATACTTCTTATGATATGAATAAATTAGAAATGACTCTTTGAAGGTAATTCGTTAAACTAAGGATTCACTTATGAAAGCCGATTGCAATCAAATCTCGTCTTTTATTATAAGTCGATTTATTAAAATAACGGCTATTATGGAAGCCGATTTTACCCAATAGAGTTGCTTTCAAACGAGTTCATAAACACTAAAAAAATCTTAATTGTCAAAAACGTCAAAATAGTATCATTATTTTCATGTTCAAAATAACAATATTAAATCAGTGATTTTTTTTATTTACACATACATATTTTTAAATCAGCGTTAGTATATAAAAGTTTTACTTGTTGATCGCATTATAGATGATGAAAGAAATGAAGCAGGTTTGGCTTTAGAAGAAATTTTTGAAGGAACATCCTAACTGAATGAAAATCGGTAATTTTGAAAAATTTGTACGCTTGGAAAATAATTATTATTTAGCTTTAAAAAAATGTTTCGGATAAAAAAACAACAAAACGTTTCCCAACAAATGTTTTAAAATTAGCTTTGCTTGTAAAAAATGTGATGTGAAAATAGCAATTAAACTAGGGATTGACTTTGTTGTAGGTATTTTTCAACAAACCGTTTCTGTAGAGTTCCGAACGATATCGTAAAAATTTTTGAAAAGCATATATTATGTCCTAAATGAAAGGAGAAGAAGAAACAAGAGACAACGACTTAATATTTTGTTTTTAACATATCCTTTTTTCATTGGCCACTTTATCAATTACCATCACCAAATCTACCAATAAAAGTGTATAAAGTAGATTAGTATCACTTCGAGAGAAATCGCTAGTAAATATTATCGGCTTAATTCGATTTGACAGATAAAATCATTTCGAATTGGCTTCCAATTAAGCCAGAAATTCGAATCTACAATTCTTCCAATTCAAAATGCAGAATTATTATTTTTCTAAATTCTATTTAAAGGTATTTATATCAATTACAAAATTAATTTATTAAATTTGTACCTTATTGCGTTATTATAAATAAATGTGGTGTTTATTATAAGATTGTGTGTATGTATATAAATTTTTATCTTTGAATCTAAATGCCCATAATATTTATTTTAATATTATTCGAACAACTCCTTCAAAATACTTATAAATATATCAACATTATAATTATTTAATTAATAATTATTCTCTTCAACTTAATATGTATATAATAAATAGGTAAATAACAACTTATTAACTTGTAATAGATAAAATATGTAGGTATACTTGCGTATACATAATTATATGTCTCCACTGTATTGTATACTTTTTGTAATTGAAATTTCATAGACTATTGCAATTCCACCCTTTATATTTCAAAATTGCCTATGTACATTAAGTAAAGCAATTCTGTCAGGGGTTGACAACTTAATATTGTATATTGACGACAGGGAGTAATTATTTTTAAGAACAAGATTTCTTACAAATTGAGCACAATTTTTATATATTTTAACATTTATTGGAATTAAAAAGTAAAAAGTACCGAATGAAATTAGTATATTGAACAAAATAGAATAATATTAAGCTAATTTTGTTTTATTCATTAATTTATATAAAAATAACTTTATAAATATCTTAGGTAAGATGATGCGTCTACTGTATAATGTACAAATAGACCAGATAAGTCGGATAAGTGATACAGATTTCATCAATAACATGATTTTGATGCAAAACATGAATGTAAGTTAAAAAAAATTAGTGCCCCTTAAATTTAAAAGAAACGATTTTGTAATTTTAAAGAAAGTGCAGATTATAAGTGTGGATTGGTGAATTTTGTATTAATATCGTTTTACTGCATCTTAAAAATCCAAGTCTACTACTTTCTAACAAAAATACGTGACGAAATTGAAAACAGGTAAAAAGTGTCATTTATTACACATTTTTATTATTATATAATTACTAGCAAATTCTTTTTGACACTTTAACGATTTCTGAATTTTTTGATCGCAAGCTTGGATAATTTTCGCCCACGCTTATCAATACAAATTTTTTAATTTCTTGGTTTAGTCACGAGCATCTTAGAATTTATTTTTCAACATTTTGAGCTTGTTTAAAATTTGAATTTTACGAGTATAACGTCAAATTTAAATTTTTTTAAAAAATATATTAAATAATAATAAATAATATTCAATTAAATTATGTTATTATTGTGTCAAAAATACCTTTACAACTGCTGTCATACGATGTAACATTAAATTTAACAATATTTCAAATTTAAAAGCAAATGCAAGCATTTGTAAATGTGGAATTAAATATGATGAGAAAACTTCGAAAGGTGGTGATTTATTGCTCCTTGCTAATAAAGCATAACAACCCCAGAAATTAAAACAATTGAATATAAAAAAAATTGTTGAAATAGACCAAGTATATTTATGAATATTTTTATGATTTATTTCCATTTCCGATTCTAATAAAAAAACATCAATATTTTCTAAATGATGAACCATTTCTCTAGTAGATTTTCTTTTCACAATGGCAAATGTAAACATCACTATAACAATTAAAGTACTAGTTATAGGATGAAATATTTCACCAAGTTTTGTAAAATTTGTTTCAAAAAAATATTGAACTAGCCATTCTCCTCTTTTTATAGATAAAATAAGGTAAACTATATACGACACACTCTGAAAAAAAGTTAAAAAGTATCCAAGTAATTCTATTTGAAAATTTTCAATTCCAGGTGGATTTGGTTCTAATCCAACACAAAATAAAAACCATATAGCTGGTCGTATCGAATCGTAAATGTTATTCGATTTTCGTAAATAATCGAGAAACTTCATTCCGTTTAGAGAATAAAAAATGTACTAATCAACATTTAAATAAAATATTAAAAATAAGCGTTTCAAGCCTTAAAAAAAATTATTGTCATTTTTCATATATGCTTAAGGAAAAAAGTACCTACATACATATATGAAAATGTTTAAGTAAATAAGGATCACATTACATAAATTATGTTTACTTTTTTACATTACAGAACTATTTTTTATTATTAGACTGAATTAAAATGTTGTGAAAATAGAAAAGAAGCTTGATATATATACTTATGTAAATAAAATATTGTATACGTGTATAGCAATACATATATTGATTTGCTCTTAACACACGTAAAGTTTTTGAAAAAAAAATTCGATTGTTCATTTTTAATTACCATAATTAAATAAGAAATATAAAACTACAATTAACTTATGTTTCGTTTAACAATAGTTAATAATTTTATTCCACGCCATTTCGCATTTGTTTTGCATCACACTCTTAAAAAATAGTTTAGCCGTACGTGTGTACATAGCGAAAGATCTGAATACGGTTTATTTTATAGAAATTACGGTTTATTTTATAGAATACTTAGGTAAATCTAGTAAGTACGACTTTTTTATGAAACCTTAAAATTAAAACCTTTTTCTATAATACAAAAAAAATAACAATATGCAAGATATTAAATATTACGCGGCAATATTTACGTTTACGATTAAAGCTTACAACTAACAATGATGACCCATTGTTATTAGTCGAAAATCAATTCGTATGGCAAAAATTTACACATAGAATATATATGTAAAAGTTTAATGAAAGTTCGTGGTTCGTGGTGAAATGATTTTAAAGTAATGTAAATAATAATTCATAAATATAAAACTCAAAATAAGTTTTTTTGCGATGGAGCAGTAAGGATAATTAAAAAAATAAAAGAAAATATTTATAAAAAACAGTTTTTTTTTAGAATTGATTGGAACTTCATTTTTAAGATTTTCCAACTAAATTGAAAAAAAATGCTTATTAGTTTCACTCTGTCTGTCCGTGTGTCCATGCGCTTGCTTACAATTTCTACGCATTTTGAGATAGAAAGGTGAATTTTTTTATGAAAGTGGATAAGAAAGTTTTTCCATATTTTACTTAAAAGTTGTATTACCTCGAGGTGCTTAAATTACTAATTAAAAATTTATTGTATTAAACCACAAAAAATTTTCGAATTCCACAAAAACAGGAAAATCGCGGCTAGCTTTTATTATGACGAAATAGCATAATGTGACATTAAAATACATTGATAGTTTAATGAAACATTAACTGGTCACTGAATTAACGTGAAATTATTTTTTTTGGTGAATTTTAACGTCATTGTTCTTTTAGATGGCAAATTGGAGAGTCCTGAAATTTTAGCGGTTACGACATATTGATAAATAATTTATTTTGCTAGAAGAATACTCTTATCCTTCTCGTTTTCCTTCGAAGTTTGCGAAATAAGCAAGATTTCAAAATTCGTCCCTTTTATTTCCTAAGTTGCATGCTTTTCAAAGGATAAAAGCAAAAAAGCTAACGGTAAATGCCCTGCTATTTACTAAGTCGAATGCGAAAGCGGTTTTTTATTTCTTTTTCTCCGAAAAGTATGCAATATTTTTTATTTCATAATTTAATTTCGATATACATACTATGTCCTCGATTGATGACGGCGATGCGTTCCGAAAAACTGCGTTATAAATCGAATCGTCTTTAGATTTTAGGTTTTAAAGAAGTACGTTCATGCACATATATCTATGTATGCATAAATATATATATTTTGCACAAAATGTATTATGTTTTATTACCGAGCGTATTGTTAATACAATAGGTAGGTTATGTGATGGCAACAAATTTTGCATATCGAGTTTTCGGTGGGAACGCACTTCTCCATGGTAGGGAAGTGTAAATAAACTATTTTTAGCAACCTGTCGGTCTGTCGTTCTGTCAGTCTGTGTCTA